TTAACTTAGTATAAAAAAAAGTTTTAGATATGCGCATACCACATTTGGAGACCCCAATTTTTATAAGTAATTTGAGTTATATTTTACTATGATTATTCTCTGGTTGACTAGTGGATCACCAATTAAATTATCAGGTGCAATATTTTTATTATATTTGTAGTATTATTTGTTATATAAACAGATTTGTAAATATTACATGATTGAAATTATTTTCAAATTAGTTTTAAACTCATGTTTTTTTTTTACATATACAAATCATATAATTGGCAATTTTTATAAATTGTATTTTTTTTTTATTATTATTAATATTAACTTTTGCATATGTAGAATAAATTAGTATGCCTAAAAATTGGTTATTAGATACTGTAATAGCAAACTTTTATAGTAGTTATCCAAATTAAAAACTATAACAGCTATTCAAATATGCTTTCTTGTAAATATGTCAAATTAAATATTTTACTAAAAAAAAATAAAAATAAAAAATTACTTTACTTGCTAGTTATTAATACAAAAAGCTGAGATGTGGCGACTTAATGTAGTAGCCTAGTTGTCACTCTCTTTAAGTGATAGGTCTAGAGTTTGAATCCCACTAGTGACAATTTTGAAAAATAGACCTTTGTATAGTTGATGGCTTTCTATTGGTTGGATCTATAATCTTGGTCACACTATCTAGTAATAAAAGCTTCAGTTCAATAAATCCAGAGAACCAGAATAACCAAAAACCCATTTGGCAAGTCCTGAGTTTGGAGGTAGTAGTAATCTATGACAGTACCACAGGAGGGCTGAATTTGAACTGGGGCCTAAGATCAGAGAACTGAGCAACCAGGTCCTAATAGTGAAGGACACACTAGCTAAACTGCTGGATTGTTGCACTAGAGGAAAAAGATATATGCTCCAAAAGTATAGACCAAGAGGAAGGTGTTCTTCAGGCACCTAAAGCCTGGGCAAACCAACCCTTCTGGGTTGCTAGCTAGAAGTAAAGAAGGGACTGATAAAGAATCCAGATAAGAAGACAGTCTAAATATAGAGTACTGGGGTTGCTAGAAACCAAAACAAGAGCAAGGAGTACGTAATAGACACCTAGTTAGAAAGGTTGGTACTTGAAAAACATCTGTAGAATAGCAATACCCTAAAAGATAAGAAGTTATACAGTAGTAAATACATGTGTGGGATATGTACTGCTATGTTAAATTTATCTCGAGGATAAACTGGATCTATATAGGTTAGTAAGTCTTAAGGTAGGGAGTGAAATCTAGATTGGGTGATATCCAAAATCTAGTATATGAATAGTAAGGTAAACCTATCAAGTTAGGGGGCAGATAAAGATAGTTAGAACCAGATAGTTTAAATAGATACTCTCCTAGTTTGGGTGTAGGTATGGCAAATAGTGTTGAACTTTTGAGCAGACTACTTAAATTAGGCACTCAAAAAATACATGTGTGGCTTGATGTACCATTGTTGTAATTACATATAAAACTCCATCTATACTTTAATAAAAAGTTTCTCAGGCCAAAGAGGTTATTTTAATACCAAAAAAAAAATAAAAAAATTAATACAAAGAGCTAATTTTAGTATACTATAGTTACTTCTTGCTATAGCCCTAGGTGGAAAAATTAATATAGATCAGGATATCTTATATTTTAGTAATTAGAATTATATAGTTTTGGTACTAATCAACTTGTCTCATCAAGATGAGTCAAATAGTACTGAAAGTACATGATTTCAATTACTAGAATATGAGATATTAACAATGCATTGAATTAGGCACTATGTCAAATTAGGCATGTCTTCTTTATATTAATTTTTGTATATTTATATATATAATTTATTTTTATATAATCATGTAACTATTGATATGCAGATCATTGTATAATTATGATAAGTTATTTTGAACCCCAAATTTTTAAAGTATTCTAAAAATTGTCTAATATGTAGTAGAAAATAATTATTAGAATAGTGAGTTTAAAGAGAAGAATTTGCCAAGCTTTTAAAAAATTAGTATAAATATTAGTTACAAATACTAATTAAATTATTTTTACAGATTGCTAAAAAGATTGTATATAATAAGGGAGGTGAATATCTTTTCAAAAAATACATTAATCATAAGTCTTCAATGCTTTGAAAATATGCTATAGGCTATAAATAATCCACAACTCTTGATTGTATAAAGTACAAAAAAGCATAATACTCATAATATATAATTGAAAATTGTTATAATTGAACAATTGAAGATATAAAAAAGTTTGTACAAAAAAAAGAAAGTCTTTGCCTTGCAACTAAGTATATTAATCCTCTTGAATAGCAGTATATAAAAAAGTATAAATAAAAAACTTTGGCTAAAGATATTATTAAAAGAACTTAGTATTAACAATACCAACTTCTCAATATTAATATAGCAAAAATATATTAGTGAATGCCTTTTTACAGAATATGTTAATATGATTTTGGATCAATATCCCAAAGATCGAAATCCCGATAGTACTAAATCCCGATGTACTAAATCCCAAAAGAACAAAATCCCGAAGAAATAATATCCTGAAAACTAAATCCTAAAAAAAAAAATCTTGAAAATTCATTATCCCAAAAATAAAATCCTGAGAGATCATGATCCCGAAAGATTTGATCCTGAAAGATCATAATTCTGAAAGATCATAATCCTGAAGATTATAATCCCAAATGATCATAATCCCAAAGATTATACTCGAATGATTATAATCTTGAATGATCATAATCCCAAAAGATAATATCTCAAAAATTACAATCCTGAAAATTAAAATTTTTTAATAATATAAAAAAAAATGTATATTAATATAGTTTGTATACTGTATATTAAATTATCTCAGGTCTCCCTGTGTATCACTCTTATTATAAGTTGAAGAATCGAGCTAAAAAATTGTATTATATATACTAATAAACTAAATTAGTATGAAATAAGTAAAGTTAATTAAATTAATAAATATTTTTTAAACTCACATTAAATTAATAAAATTAAATCTATAATACTTAAATCTTTATTAATTGCTCTTGGGCCCTTGCACATTTGGCTGAGCATAACCTTCACATTAATATTTTGTAATTTGTTGGTTATTAATTAATTGAGGCCTCATTATTACATCAGCCTAGAATAAAGAATATTAAATAGAAATAGCAAAACATAATGCAATTCAACAAGCAATACTTATTTGATGTAGACAATATATGAGAATGATTCCTCATTATCATGATGAAGTCGGAATTCTTGATTAATCTAAGAAAAAGATAATAGTTAAATAGTAAGTAATAACAAATATCAATGTAGATATATAATAAGATATTCACCATTATAAATCATAGAATTGTTTAAAATTCCTCCCAAGATATTATTAAAATATTTAGTAATCGGGTCATATTTTTTTATTATGAAATCACAACAAAGCCTTGAAGAACTATAAAGTGTAAGGTTTAGTACGATTCTAGATAAAGAAAAGGAACCATAGTAATAGAAATAAAAGAAAAGATACTTATCTTATTACTTCTGAGAGAATTATTAATAATAAACTTTATGATAAAAAATAGTAACCAAAACCAGTGCAAAAATAGAATCATAGTAACTAGTAAAACAAGAAAGACAACAGAATAAATAAGAAATGTATTATTACATCAAATTCCTAATATTAGTGAGTTTAAGATTCTGTCCAATCCAAGAAAATCTCTCTTATGTTGGAAATTTCGATGACCCTATTAGATATAGATTATATGCAGTAGTAATAGTCTAAAAACACATAGATTAATTCAAAAAAGTATTTGATAGTATTTCAATACACCGATAATGAAAATCTTCACAAATTTTCAAGATCTAACCTAATGGATTTAATGAATTTGACAAATGAATCTAAGGGAAAATGCTGATTGAATTGGGTTAAAGCCTAAAGGCTCTTGGAGCTTTAACTATAAGATTTAATTTTAATTTAAAAGCTAATAAATACTTTGTGGTATTTTAGTATGCTAATAATGAAATATTTATAAATTCTTATGATCAAAATTTAACAAACTTACATGGAAAGTTGAATTGAAATTAGTATTAGGGTAGCCCAATTTATAACTTCATAATAGAGATACTTCTTATATTTCGGGTCTAAAATTATTATATACTGTAATCAATAAGGAATAATAACTAGAACAAAAAAAAACAACCATTTTAGCTCTTGGAAAAAAAAATAGATAATTCATTATATCATAATAAATCACATACTCTAGAACACAAGTCTAAGTTTCTTTAACTTCACATGTTCTTAAAGATAAATAAATAAATTTCTTGTTTATATTTATAGTAGACCGTTAAAAAGTTTCACTAGTAAATATTTTATATTTAACTTTATACTTAAGGTTGTTGACTTGAATAATTTCTTTTTTGGCTATATTTTTAAATCATATATAATATAATTATAAACAAATATGTATAACTACTACATATTATAGCATTAAATAACTTATACGTATATATATGAATTGAATAGATAAATAATTTTATATGTAATAATAGACTTTTTAAATAGATATGCAAATTGGAGATGGTACATATAAGCAAATTATAAAAATTACTATATAAGTTGCATTAACTGAATGCAAAGCAAGTTTAATTTGATTAGTTATTCTATTTTTACTATTAATGTTAAATGGAAAGATTACTTGCAATTCCTTTAAGGAAATTCATTGTTATATGATTAGGTCAATCTTTTAAAATACTTATGATTCGTTTTTCTCATTTAATTGCTTTTATAGGTCTTTGTTCCCTATTAAGAATTTTTTTAGCTTAAAAATCAACTCTTTGTTGTTCCTTCTGAATTTCTTTGATAATTGAATAGACACCTAAATAATTACTACTAACTAGATTATTCCAATGATAATGCTATCCTTCAACTTTGTTCTGAGTACGTAGAAACCCAGATTCAATAGAGCTATAGACTGACTACAATTCTGGTAAATAGAGTGGTTAATTATGAGAGATATTACTATTACTTAACTCTTTTCTAACTTTTCCAAAAGCATAAGTATTCTCAAACCATAGTACAACTTTACAAGCAATTGGTGGTATTTCTTTTTTTAAAATATTGAATATAGTAGGAATTTCTTCAGATGAAAGAAAAGCCAAGGCAAGCAAACACCGTAAATTCTCACTTAAATTTAAATCAGTTTCATATTGGACTACTAACTTTTCATCTTATATTTTTTTCCATAAATTTTTTTCAAAATGAAAAAAACATCCTTTATTTACAATGCCTAAATAATAAAAAATAAATTATCAATTAGTTTATTATTTACTTTATAGTACTGTAAATTTTTAAAATAGCAACTGGGGATATTATTTCGAATTTAGCATAAATTAAGTTTAATTTAAAGTAAAATTCAAAATAATATTCGCATTTGCTATTTTAAAATTTATAGTATTTACAAATTGTTATATATATAAAAGACTAAACTAGTATTTAAAAAATATCTAACCTGGAAATGTGTCAGATGATGCACGAATTGCTACTTGTTCGAAATCAGTAATAATAATTTGTGGCTTAAGTTAAAAATCATTATCCTCTGCAAAATCGCTTAGAGTTTGAAATAGATGAATATAAAGTTCTTTTGACTTGCCACTCATTAAAGCATATATGAGTAGAAGAACTTGAGAATTGTCATTTGTGCCAACAGGTGCATGGATGGTATAAAACTGTTTAAAAATAGTAAGAACCATTTTAAAGGTACTATCTATGATCCAATAAGGTGCCTAGAATAAACGTTATAAGTTAGTTTTAATTGCAAATACAAGAATTTTATTTTGATTAATTTCTAAGTTTTTTATTAAAAATAATTCTCTATTTAAAGTTAGGCATAATGAGGCTGGAACATTAATTTCTTCAAAAGTTTGAGGTTGTGGTAGAGTTTCAGCGCTTCTAATCTATTTAATTCTTATATGAAGAGCTTTATATATAGGCATATAAGATGAAAGATTTAGTAGAATAGTGACAATATTATCTTAAATAATTTGAGAAGGTGTATCTTGAGTATCATGAGCTTGTCATTTAATGCTAGCAATAACTTTTGCAACTTCACTACTACTAGCTTCAGGAGCATGGTTTTTATGTTTAATGAATTTTTTAAGATAGTGTAAATTATCTGAGAAAGTAGTAATTGCTCGACCTTTACAACACTCTGACTTTCTTTTTTTATAACACCAATAATAGGTATTTCTAATTACTTTTTCCTTTACCATTAAGTAACCATTGACTACTAATTTTGGATTTCCTTTTTGCAATACTACTATTTCATATATTTCGGCCATATTGTAGCAATATTTAAGAGGTATTAATCTTTTACTTAAAAATAAATTTGTTTTATAATTATTATCAAACCAACGCATGAAATGATGCTAAAAATATAATGAGTTTATTAAATTAATTATAGAAGAATATTTATTAGTAATTATTATCAAACCGACACATGAAATAATACTAAAAATATAACGAGTATATTGAGTTAATTATACAAGAATTAGATAATGAATTTAAGTTTAATAAATAAAAAAGAGCAATGCAGTAAAAAATTTTTTAATTAAATAAGAGATTGAAGTTTTTGATCAGAATCAAAGATTAGATATTCAAATTAGATATACATCAATTGGACAAGTGGGTTGTTTGATGAAATTTCTATAATTGTTTGTAATTTTTTTTAGAAATAAGAAATATAACATACTGCTAATTTTTACACTATATATATATTAGGGTGATTTATAATTAATGTATTTCGAAAATAAGTGGGAATACAAAATAACCTATTTTTGGTTTGAAATTTTGAAATTAAAAAAAAAAATAGGAGTTGTCCGAAGATACAATAAACAACTTTTTTTTTTTGAAAATATATTGTTATTATATAATATTATAGTAATAAATTAATAAAGAACTACCTTAGATCTTTTTAAACTATTAAATAATATTAATAAAATTACATATTTATTTTTTTTTCGAATTATTAATATTTAATGTGCTTTCCAAAAAAAAACTTTTAAACAAACCACTAAAGAAGAAAATATTATAAAGCCTAATAGTTTTCTATAAATAGCAAGATATCGATATAATTCAATTGTTTGCCAGTTTATTTTTTATTTTTATTTTTTTTTTTTTGGTATTAAGATGAGGCCTTGCTCATATCTTTATTGTTTAATTTATATAAGTAATTACATATCAACTATATAAAGACTTAATTTGTATAATAACAAATAAAT